GAATTCCGACTGACGCTCAATTGGATAATGAAGTTTCTTTCTGCACTTTGTTCTTTTGAAGTCAAAGGACAGGGAGCCAACGGTTGTGTTGAAAGGTAGTTGAAGAAATGTGGAGGGAAAGAGAGAAATTGGAATTAATAATCGTTTTTAAAAGAGAGAGAGAGAGAGAGAGAGAGAGAGAGAGAGAGAGAGAGAGAGAGAGAGAGAGAGAGAGAGAGAGAGAGAGAGAGAGAGAGAGAGAGAAAGAGAGAGACAGAGAGAGAGAGAGAGAGAGAGAGAGAGAGAGAAAGAGAGGGATTTGGTGATTGTGCCTCAGTTTCTTCAGTTTCAGTTTCTCTCTGTCACAAAATTTTCTAGTTTTTTCCATTCTCTCTCTTCCCATCATACACACATTTGCCTCATTTGACTAATTCCGTTGCTTTATTCGGAGGCCAAAAGTAGATGAATAGATTATAAATATTTCCCAACTGGGTAAGCGGTATGGCGTGTTGCTTTGGCACAAATGATGGTATGAAGGAACAGATTGAGAATGTATTATATGTCAAATGGAACTTGTCAAGGTTAAGAGGAAAGGATCGATTGCTTTATGCTCAAGGATATAACAGAAAGATACTGCAAGAATGGGGTGACTGCCTGGATCCCGTCTCACATTTCTTTACTTTGTTCGTCGTAATGTTTATTGATTCAGGTAAAGGGAGGGTTTAGAGTTAAGACGAATTGAATTCAGTTATTAGAGAATTGCCTGCTTTTATTATATTTGTTGCTAGGATTTACCTTGTGATATGCCGCCTCTTTATTATTATATGTTTCTAGAATAAAATGCTAGTTAAGAATTTTTCTATGACCATTGTAGCTTTGGCACATGCACAACAGAGGAATGTATTCAATACATACATATATATACATATATATATATATATATATATATATATATATATATATATATATATATATATATATATATATATACATAAATACATAAATATATAATTATTTATATTTGACGCACACACACACCACACACACCACACACACACACACACACACACACACACACACACACACACACGTATATAACATACAATACTATATATATATATATATATATATATATATATATATATATATATATATATATATATATATATATATATATATATATATATATATATATATATATATATATATATATATATATATATATATATATATATATATATGCTTGTATGTATGTATATACGCACACATTCACACTCATTGCTAGTAAAATAACGACATTCTACAATAAATATTGAAACATTCATACCTGCGTCATGCCGATTTTTTCTCCACGTTTTCGTGTCTTGTGATACAATAAATCATCTAGACCAACGTATTTTTTTTTACGTCGAAGGTAATCTGCGTTGGAATTGTAGAGATTGTTTGTCTTGGGGATGAATTGCAGACTGGCTGATGTGATGGATGACGGATGATGACGCTCTACGAGTTAGCAATGCTGATTAACATGAAAAATACTGCATGTGGTTTAGAATTTGCTATTCTATATTACCCGTGCATTTGGACTGAGAAAATGAGGCAAAAACGGTATGTATGTTTTGACTGGCAGCATGAAATATACCCTTTGCCACAAAATTGTTGCAAGAAAGTAAATATAGTGAAGAAGAACCTACGCTTCTCAAAAGAAAGTCGTTTCGAGTCACACGAATAAGTTCAACTGAAGAATGCAGAAGGAAGGCATTTGTCATCATAAAGAACATAGCGTAATTTGCGCCTAGTTGCGTATTACATTTTGAAGATAATACTTTGCGTAATTTTAACGGATTACCATTGTTAAGCAAAAGGAGGTAGGGAGGTGGACATTAGATTATACCCATTTATCAACCATTTATTAAAAAAAAAAAGTATTTATCCATACATGAATGATAGTAGACAAATACGCTGAACAACATAATATAGCTTTAGGAACATGAATATAAACTTGAGGGAATTATCTAGTCTTTCAGATGAGTAGACGCTTAACTAACACTGTAGACTTAAATTGTAATATCAAATATAAGTGTGTTTACACTAAACAACTGTTATAGTATTATTATTATTTTCTATCGATTTCCAGGAAAAAAATACTGAAGACTAAGCCCAATATGTTTGAGCGTCACTTTATCATGCTTATTAACACAGATTATTGTTCACTTTCAAAATATATTTAAATATATATACTGTAAATAGAACAATGTACCCGCGCTTTCCCACAACACCGCTTATTTCCGTATTGGTTAGCCTGTCATATTTCTTTTTTTACCCATCTTTTTGAAGGCTTCTTCAGATAAATAGATAAAGTGATTCCTTTACATACGAATCTATAACAGTAGGAGTGACCAAACCTCTGAATAACGCATGATTTTTCATTACGGTTCATCTATGGAATAAAATTAATACTTGATAGTGTATATGTACACATCTTTATGCGAGTTTGCTATGATAGATAAAATCTAAATATAAT